TTGCGAGTTTGTACTTTTGTATTCTGCTTTTGTTCTAGTTTGTTTTCTGTTTTGTTTTATTGTACTTATACGCATGCTTGCATGTAAAAATAAAAATTTCTCATTTTCTCAGTTTCATCACATGTTCCATCACTGCTGTTTTCCTCCTGATGAGGATGTGGAGCAGTTTTGGTTGGGTCTCAGCTTTACTCGCATTGTCGTTTTTATACTGTCTCCCTGGTTTTCTCGTCACTCTGAGGTACTCATTTTTCGCCCTCTGGTATCTCTTCCTGCTCTCTGGTGTTCTGTCTTCCTGTAGTTTCTCCATGTTCTTTACTTAATTGCTTCGCTGCTGCACATTCCAGCTTGAACCATGGATTCAAGCAGGAATGCATTCTGATGCTTTTCATTTTTCTCTGTTTAGGCTGAGAGATAAACTGTCTCTGCAACATTCTTATGGCACGTTTGAGTGACATAATCAATCATATCCTGTACAGTTTTTTTCTGAGTTCTTTTGTTTCCATGGTATTCCCATTTCGAAGTTCCTCATCTGGTCCTTTTTTCCTCTTCGGTTATATAGTCTTTTCCCTTCCAATCCCTTCCTTGGATAGGTTATCCCTACCTCTGCCAGATACTCAAATGTCAATACACTGGACACTCATTCCTATGGGGGCTTCAAATCTGACGTCCCTTATTTCTGAAATCATTCAAGGTGAATATCAGGTCGAGCCTAGCTGGTCGTCATTCCCTCTCATTCTAGTGGGTCCTTGACATGTTGGCACAGAATGTTCCTTGTTGTCACTTCCAAGAGTATAGCTCCCCATACACAACAGAAATCACAATAACGTGATGTATCAAATTAACAAATTCTGGGGTGATAATGGATATAGGAAAGTGAGCTTCAAGATAATGTACTCAAACATCGAGGGATTACCAACAAAGCGAACCGTGAATAGGTTCGAATCCTCGTCACGGCCCTTGGGATTGTTCATTAGCTCTCCATGTATATTCACCTCCATGTGGGGTCCCATTCTCCCAGTCTATCTTTCCATGGTGAAATCTCCCCCCCATTAATTAGAGTCTGGATCCATTCCTGCAGGAACTGAAGCTGCTCTCTCTATTATATTAATGGTTGCCATGTTGTTTTCTGTCGAACTCTTGTATGGGTCTTCTGTCATTTAGTGGAGGGTTGTTAATGACTGCCATATTATCTTAGGTCCACCCATTGTCATAGTTCCTGTTATGTAATCTCTGAATCCGTCGCAGCTCGAAATTTTACCTCTTCAAAGCTCCAGTTCCTTCCTTATCAGCAGGGGCCACTCCTCCTCATCCTTCTCCTCCTCCTTTCCCTTTCCTCTCTTTCCTTACTATTTATTAGTCCTTTGGAACTACAGCATTTGTTATGACTCCTGAAAATTTTGTTTCCTATTACAATCTGGGTTTTCTTCCTGCGCCCTTTCTGCCAGTTCACTCGCTTTGTGGTAATCCCATTGAGGTTTGAGTACATTACCTTGAAGCTCCATTTCCTATATCCATTTTCACCCACACTTAACTAGTGTAGGAAGCTCTTCCATGGGCATTGTGCTCTGGTAGGCTCACCATCTTGTGGGGTAGGTACCAGGGGTTCGGGGGGAGGTAGTGGGGGGGGGGGAGGTAGTGGCGGGAGGGAGGAGAGGTGGGGGGGGTTGGAGGCTTAGAAATATCCCAGGCCTGCTTGGGTCAGGGAAAATTCCTAGGGTGTAGGGGCAGGGAGTGCTCGAGGTTGGGAAGCAGGAAGTGCTCGGGTGAGGGCTCGCCCTCCTGTGATGTTAAATAACAGGGGTTTGGAGGAGGATGGGGTAGGGGGGGATGGAGGACTTAGATCTGGTCTGGGCCTGCTTGAGGCGGGAGGAAGACCAGGGGATGGGAAGGCGGGGGTATTTTGGGTAGGGAGGGAGGGGGATTTGGGTTATATATTTGCACTGTGTAGGGTGAAGGATAGATCTGCACTTGTGAGGGCTCCTATGGGTGGTGAGTTGGGATATTACAGTCCCCACTGGGGTTCCAGAATTGCTGGATTTGTGGTTCACCACACCCCTCTGAGATTGCAAGTTTGGAGGTTGAGGTTCCATGCCTCCCTTTCCTTGCATCTGCTGCCTATATATTCTTCTTCCCTGGTCTTGTCCCTCTGAAGGAATACCTGTCTGTAATTCATTACGTATTGCAGTTTGCTCTCTTTTAATAGGGATGTCCTCTTTGACGGACTCGTTTCTGAGTACTACCTTGATCAACCAGTCATTGTCTTTATTGTACTGGACAGTCCGGAAGAAGCTTTATGCCTTTTTCAGCCCCTTCCATACCTTGGTCCTGTAGTGTCCCTGACACTGCAGCTTTGTCCTTAGTCCTCCATTCTTCCTTGTGAATCCAATCTTGTTCCTTAATACACTACCACTATTACAGCTCTTATCCTTCCATTAGCTGGCTAGTGCATGTAGCTGCCTCCTGTGAGGTTACTGCTTTCATTACAGCTTCCTTGACTATGGACATGGCATCTGGGCACTTCAGTATTTCAGCAAATGTTGCACCCATTGTCGGGTGCCACATTTGTGCACCCATTTGTAGGGTGCCCATTGTAGAGTGTCACAATGTGCATCGCCCATTGTGAGGCATGTGTCTTGTTTCTCCAGGAACAACATGTGTACAAATGTGACTAGATAAAGTCTCAGTTGGCTTATTCATATCATAATGGCTGTCCTATTTGTGGTAGGACAGGGTAATATATCACTTATATTTAGACAAGATGAACTGTTAGATTTGACTGAATGCATATTGACCAGTTTGAGACCACTATATATTGCAACATCCTAATTTTTAAATTCTTATTGAAACACTATATCTTTAGCATTACAGCAAGAACAAATATAAGAGTAAACTTATTATTAAGTTGATCTCCAGGTTGGTACATGGGAGTTTACCCGATCTACAGGTCAACAACTCCCGATCTACATGGTTCACCCGATCTACATGGAGATTAGGTCAACTAATAATATTGAGGCTCTGGCAAATAGTTGGCTACAGGCTCATCCTGTTGCATATATGATTGTTTACTTTACGAATAAAGTATATCCCTAATGATGCATAAAATAGTTCTTGGAGCAGATTTCAATTGAGCGAGGGAGGATTTTATAGTTCTTGCTTGTAGTTTAAAAAATGAAAAAAAAAAGACATTCTCAATTTCAGATAAAGACAGATTATTCAATATCATATATATAACACTTTTGTAAAATCTATTATACAACATTTCCATTTTACTTTTCATTTAATACCTTTTTATTTGTTTCATTAATCTTACAGTTTCATAAGACAAGACAGCGATTGCATAGCTCATTCTTTTCAATATAAAGGATAAGTGGGTTTTGAGCATCCTATCAAACACCTGTGCTGTGGGGGGGACTGGGACGTTACTGAACCATTAGTCCAGGTGCACGAAGGAAGGTGCTAGGGGGGGGAGAAGGTCGTTGTTGACCCTAAACCAGGTGCACGAAGGAATGGTGGTGTATAGAGCAGGGGGGGACGTTACTGGACTCCTTAGACCAGGTGTGGAAGAGAAGGTGTATGGGGGAATGGGGGGATGCTACTGGGCCATTAGACAAGGTGAAGGAAGAAAGGAAGGTGCTGTAGGGGAAGGGGGACGTAAATGGATCCTCTGACCAGGTGTATGAAGAAAGGTGTTTTTTGGGACGTTAGTGGACCCTTAGACAAGGTGTAGAAATAAGGTGCTGTGGGGGAAAAGAGGTGGGACGTTACTGGACCCCTAGCGCAGGTGTACGAAGGGACAAGCTGTGGGGAAAGTGGGGAAAGGGGTGGGGGGAAGGGGACGTAACTAGACCGTTAGATTAGATGCACTAAGGAAGTTTCTGTAGGGGGGGGGGGGAGAGGACGTTATTGGACCCTTAAACCAGGTGTAGGAAGGAAAGTGCTGTGTGGAGAAGGGGAGACGTTACAGGACCATTAGTCCAGGTAAAAGAAGGGAAGAAGGTGTTGTGTGGAAGGGGTGGGAACGTTACTGAACCCTTAGACCACATGTATAAAGGAAGTGTTATGTGGGGAGGGAGGGAGGACTAACTGAACCCTTAGACGAGATGTATGGAGAAAGGTACTTTGGGGAGAGGGAGGTGGGGATGTTACTGGACTCCTTAAATCTGGTGTAGGAGAGATGGTGCTGTGGGGTTAGAGGGGGGACGTTGTTGGACACTTAGACAAGATGTACGAAGGAATGTGCTGCGGGGATAGGGGGTGGACGTCACTGTACCCGCAGATAGGTGTAGGAAGGAAGGTGCTGTGGGGGATGGGGGGATGTTTCTGGACCCTTTGACCAGGTGTACGAAAGAAAGTGCTTGGTCTCTGACCTCCCTGCATTGCCATCAAGTGAGGCTTGTGGTCGTTGTTGACGCTCTGTGATGGGGAACACCCCCTGTTGTGTGAGTGTATTCCGTAGGCCTGGAATTTCTAGCCGTGCCGGGTTTCTTGAAGTAGCACTTGTAATGTGTGACATGCTCCGTGTCCCGGTGGATGTGATTTACGTATTGAACTGGTTACCGCTCATCGAGTGATTGTCAAGTTGTGGGGGACACGGAGTATCGTGCGTTTCTCCAGCGCTTCGAGGGGTGATCCTGCCCCTGCCGGGTGGTGCCGGCTCTGTGGAAATTTCCGATCGGAGTGGTGCATTGACGTACTGAGTGTTCATGTGGCTTCCTTGGAGTTTCCGAGGACCTCCTGCAGCGTTACTTCAGGAGGTTTGGAGCTGTCGTCAGTGTGAGGCTGCACAAGCTTTCCATGGGGGAAGTTCCAGGGTTTGTGAACGAACATTCGGACCCTGGGAAGCGCCTGAAGGCGGACATTCCGTCCTCCGTCCGGCTCCTCGGGTATTATGTTCGGGTGTATTATTACCGACAACCGCGTGACATGTTTTCGGTGTGGCCTGCTTGGGCATCAGGCTGCCGGGTGTTCTGAGCCTGCCATCGCCCCTGTGACCTCTTCCATTATGAGGATTTTCCACCGCTCTCTGTAGAGGAGGATTCGGTGGGTGGGGATGTGGCCTTCCTATTGCTGTTGGGGCCCCTCCCCCCTTGTGGCACCCAACGCGTCTCCTGCTGTGGTGGCCCCTCTTCCAGGGGTTGTGGTGCCTCGGATGTTAGCCTGCTCCCGTTGGTGTCCCTGATGGTCCCGTGGGTCTTCCGGTAATCTCTGTACGTCATCTTCGTCTTCTCCACCTGCAGCACGTGTCCCTGCGCTCTCGCCATGTGTCTCGGCTGTGCTGGGTGCTGGGTGGATACAGGGCCTCCTACTGGTGCTCGGCCTGGTCCCCATGGGGTTGAGGATGCTGCCGTCCTGCGGAGAAGCGTCGGTTTGCCCGGCTTATGATGCCCGTGTCTCTGGTTCGGCTTCCGAACTGATGATGTACGGCCAGAGCCCAGTATTCCTGGTTGTTCTTCTGCCTGGGCTGATGTGGGAGATTTTGACGACTCTGGATCTTCCGGCAATAGCGGGGTGGTTCCGTTTGCGTCACATTCTACGGTGGTGGCGGAAGTACATGTGCCTGCGGCGCCGGTGACAGTGTCTTGGAGTTCCCTTCTGGTGTTGTTGCCTGTGGATCTTGCTTCGGGTGCGTTGCCCGCGTCGGATGGTTCCGGTTCTTCATGGGGGAGGGGAGGTTCCCCCTGACGAGGTTCATGGTGAGCGTGGTGACCTGGTGGTGGTGTTGAAAAAAGGCTGCTCGCTCTGGGGGTTCGGTGCCCCCTTCCTCGTTCCTTGTTTCATCGGCCGGTGGTCTTGCCGCCTCTCCCGTCTCCGGCCATCTCTTCTGTATCTCCTACGGTGTCAGAAGTGTTACTGTCTCGGCAGTCTTCGCCTTCTTCCCCTGTGCATACGGGTTAGCTTCTTCGGTCTTCTGCTTTCCCGGAGGGGGTGTTTCGCCCTCCCCCACCTCGTTATGCGACTTGTATCGCCAGCTTCGGGAGCGGCCCGTTTCCGCCTGATTTGTGGATTCCTGATCATATGGTGGCCCTGCTGAAGCAGGGGGGATCGTTCCCCTACCGACATGGAGTATTTAGTGTGGGAGACCTATAAGAGGAAACATCCTTGGGCGGATTTCCATGAGAAATATTTTCCTAGCTCTGTGCTGTGACTTCCTATCCCGTGATTGTTTTGTTTGTAGCGTGTTGCGGTGTTGTTTACATTTGTGTGCATATTGTGGGGTGTGGGGTCGAATGTGTGTGTGTGGGTAGGGCGGGTTTGTTTTCCCCGGTTCCTGCAGCTCTCCGGTTGTAGTTGTGTGTTTATTTGTGTGGATTGTTTTTCGTGGGCGGGGTGTGTATTTCCAGTTCCTGTGCATTCCGGTGCCTGTGCTGGTGTCTGGTTGTGGATGTGTCCTGTTATTATGTTTTTCTGATTATGTTGTTGTACTGGTTATGCACTTATTTGTGTGGTGTTGGGTGCCCTTTGGGTGCTGGCATGGCCCTGCCTGTTTTTGTTCCGGTTATCAATGTATTGCTGTTGTAATTTTCTCTTTGTATATGTGTTATATTTTTTATATTTCCTTTTTGTTGTAATTGTCATTATGTATTGGTCCTCTCAGTGTGTGGTTTCCGGGGGCCAGTAGGCTTGTTTTGTTTTTTCCTGTTTCCTGTTTGGGTGTTGGGTGGGGATTTTTGGATGCTCTGTATTGTTATGTTGTCATTTCTGTACTGTATTACGATGTGTTTGTACTTTTTGCTGTGGTGTTTTTGTTGTTGCCTCTCAAGCTTGTATTTTGTACTTTGTAATTTGTAGTTTTATAATTTTGTGCTCCGCTTATTTTGTTCTAGTTTGTTTATAGTTTCCTGTTTTTGTTATATTGTTTTTTGTATTTATGCGCATGCTTTCATGTAAAAATAAAAAAAAGGAAGGTGCTTCGGGGGGAAGGGGGGGAGGGGGACGTTACTGGACCCTTAGCCAGGTGTACAAATAAAGGTGCTGTGGGGGTTACATACTGGACTCTTAGACCCAGTGTAGGAAGGAAGGTGCTATGGGAAGGGGGCAGGTGTTAATCGACTCTCAGACCAGGTGTAGGAAGGAAGGTGCTGTGGGGAAGGGGGGACGTTACTGGACCCGTAGAGCAGGTGTAGAAAGGAAGGAAGGTGCTATGGGGTGAGGTGGGGGGGGGGTGGTGGGGACGTTTACTGGACCCTTAGACCTGGTGAAGGAAGAAAAAGGCTGTGGGGGAGGGGGAATGTAAATGGACAGATTCCGTTTGACCTCCTCAATGTTGAGGTCAAATTCCTCCAAGGTTGCTTGGTTTGCCTCCTCATTTAGTGCAGGGACCTATCCTTGCTCTATTGTGAAGACCTCCTGGAATCTCTTGTCGAGTTCTACACACATCTCCATGTCGTTCTCGGTGTATCTGTTCTCTCATTTTCTCAGTTCACATCCCATGTTCCATCACTGCTGTTTTCCTCCTGATGAGGATGTGGAGCAGTTTTGGTTGGGTCTCAGCTTTACTCGCATTGTCGTTTTTATACTGTCTCCCTGGTTTTCTCGTCACTCTGAGGTACTCATTTTTCGCCCTCTGGTATCTCTTCCTGCTCTCTGGTGTTCTGTCTTTCCTGTAGTTTCTCCATGTTCTTTACTTAATTGCTTCGCTGCTGCACATTCCAGCTTGAACCATGGATTCAAGCAGGAATGCATTCTGATGCTTTTCATTTTTCTCTGTTTAGGCTGAGATAAACTGTCTGCAACATTCTGGCACGTTTGAGTGACATAATCAATCATATCCTGACAGTCTTTTTTCTGAGTTCTGTTTCCATGGTATTCCCATTTCGAAGTTCCTCATCTGGTCCTTTTTCCTCTTCGGTTATATAGTCTTTTCCCTTCCAATCCCTTCCTTGGATGGTTATCCCTACCTCTGCCAGATACTCAAATGTCATACACTGGACACTCATTCCTATGGGGGCTTCAAATCTGACGTCCCTTATTTCTGAATCATTCAAGGTGAATATCAGGTCGAGCCTAGCTGGTCGTCATTCCCTCTCATTCTAGTGGGTCCTTGACATGTTGGCACAGAATGTTCCTTGTTGTCACTTCCAAGAGTATAGCTCCCCATACACACAGAAATCACAATAACGTGATGTATCAAATTAACAAATTCTCGGGGTGATAATGGATATAGGAAAGTGAGCTTCAAGATAATGTACTCAAACATCGATGGGATTACCAACAAAGCGAGTGAATAGGTTCGAATCCTCGTCACGGCCCTTGTGGATTTGTTCATTAGCTCTCCATGTATATTCACCTCCATGTGGGTTCCCATTCTCCCAGTCTATCTTTCCATGGTGGAAATCTCCCATAATTAAGAGTCTGGATCCATTCCTGCAGGTAACTGAAGCTGCTCTCTCTATTATATTAATGGTTGCCATGTTGTTTCTGTCGAACTCTTGTATGGGTCTTCTGTCATTTAGTGGAGGGTTGTTAATGACTGCCATTATTATCTTAGGTCCACCCATTGTCATAGTTCCTGTTATGTAATCTCTGAATCCGTCGCAGCTCGAAATTTTACCTCTTCAAAGCTCCAGTCCTTCCTTATCAGCAGGGCCACTCCTCCTCCTCTTCTCCTCCTCCTTTCCCTTTCCTCTCTTTCCTTACTATTTATTAGTCCTTTGGAACTACAGCATTTGTTATGACTCCTGAAAATTTGTTTCCTATTACATCTGGGTTTTCTTCCTGCGCCCTTTCTGCCAGTTCACTCGCTTTGTTGTAATCCCATTGATGTTTGAGTACATTACCTTGAAGCTCCATTTCCTATATCCATTTTCACCCACACTTAACTAGTGTAGAAGCCTCTCCATGGGCATTGCTGCTCTGGTAGGCTCACCATCTTGTGGGGTAGTTACCAGGGGTTCGGGGGGAGGTAGTGGGGGGGGGGGAGGTAGTGGGGGAGGGAGGAGAGGTGGGGGGGTGGGAGGCTTAGAAATATCCCAGGCCTGCTTGGGTCAGGGAAAATTCCTAGGGTGTAGGGGCAGGGAGTGCTCGAGGTTGGGAAGCAGGAAGTGCTCGGGTGAGGGCTCGCCCTCCTGTGATGTAAATAACAGGGGTTTGGAGGAGGATGGGGTAGGGGGGATGGAGGACTTAGATCTGGTCTGGGCCTGCTTGAGGCTGGAGGAAGACCAGGGGATGGGAAGGCGGGGTATTTTGGGTAGGGAGGGAGGGTGGATTTGGGTTTATATTTGCACTGTGTAGGGTGAAGGATAGATCTGCACTTGTGAGGGCTCCTATGGGGTGGTGAGTTGGGATATTACAGTCCCCACTGGGGTTCCAGAATTGCTGGATTGTGGTTCCCCACACCCCTCTGAGATTGCAAGTTTGGAGGTTGAGGTTCCGCCTCCCTTTTCCTTGCATCTGCTGCCTATATAATCTCTTCCCTGGTCTTGTCCCTCTGAAGGATACCTGTCTGTAATTCATTACGTATTGCAGTTTGCTCTCTTTTACTAGGATGTCCTCTTTGACGGACTCGTTTCTGAGTACTACCTTGATCAACCAGTCATTGTCTTTATTGTACTGGACAGTCCGGAAGAAGCTTTATGCCTTTTTCAGCCCCTTCCATACCTTTGTCCTTTAGTGTCCCTGACACTGCAGCTTTGTCCTTAGTCCTCCATTCTTCCCTTGTGAATCCATCTTGTTCCTAATACCTACCACTATTACAGCTCTTATCCTTCCCATTAGCTGGCTAGTGCATGTAGCTGCCTCCTGTGAGGTTACTGCTTTCATTACAGCTTCCTTGACTATGGACATGGCATCTGGGCACTTCAGTATTTCAGCAAATGTTGCACCCATTGTCGGGTGCCACATTTGTGCACCCATTTGTAGGGTGCCCATTGTAGAGTGTCACAATGTGCATCGCCCATTGTGAGCATGTGTCTTGTTTTCTCCAGGAACAACATGTGTACAAATGTGACTAGATAAAGTCTCAGTTGGCTTTTCATATCATAATGCTGTCCTATTTGTGGTAGGACAGGGTAATATATCACTTATATTTTAGACAAGATGAACTGTTAGATTTTCTGAATGCATATTGACCAGTTTTGAGACACTATATATTGCAACATCCTAATTTTTAAATTCTTATTGAACCACTAATATCTTTAGCATTACAGCAAGAACAAATATAAGAGTAAACTTATTATTAAGTTGATCTCCAGGTTGGTACATGGGAGTTTACCCGATCTACCAGTCAACAACTCCCGATCTACATGGTTCACCCGATCTACATGGAAGATTAGGTCAACTAATAATATTGAGGCTCTGGCAAATAGTTGGCTACAGGCTCATCCTGTTGCATATATGATTGTTACTTTACGAATAAAGTATATCCCTAATGATGCATAAAATAGTCTCTTGGAGCAGATTTCAATTGAGCTGAGGGAGGATTTTATAGTTCTTGCTTGTAGTTTAAAAAATGAAAAAAAAAAGACATTCTCAATTTCAGATAAAGACAGATTATTCAAATACCATATATATAAACTTTTTTGTAAAATCTATATATACAACATTTCCATTTTACTTTTCATTTAATACCTTTTTATTTTGTTTCATTAATCTTACAGTTTCATAAGACAAGACAGCGATTGCATAGCTCATTCTTTTCAATATAAAGGATAAGTTGGTTTTCTGAGCATCCTATCAAACACCTTAATGATCAATGATGTTAGTGAGACCAGTGAATTAGTTGGAAGGTTTTAGGCTCTGCAAGATACCACGTGTCTCTAGAATTTCCCTTAATAACATAGTAAGTGTCCATGCAAATATTTAGTTGTCTTTTACAAATAAATTAAGGAAAATATCTTGTATCCAAATACTCGGACATACTGTGTATTTCATTTTGCAGGGTTGAGGAGATTTCTGAATATCCGACAACTGCCTTTCAGTGTAAACTGAATTTACCAAGAAGTTATCAGTTTTCCACTTTCACTGAATTCTTTGCATTGCTAACAACAACAACGGTGTAAGGGTAAGTGGACACATGAAAAACTGAAAACCAGCTTTATATTATTGCTAAAAAATATGTGTAATTAGGTGACAAGCTAACAATTGCTCTGTCACATGCTGCTTTTTTGTGGTATAGTGAATAACACTATGGCTGAACTCCCCACAGGCAAGAAAACTGGTCAAGTATGATCATTAAACACATGAAGATGACCGGGATTCGACACTTAACTATAATCCATTTGCAGATTATATATCAGGGATATTAATATGGTAAGCCATAAGATGTGCAGTGAAAAGGAAGATCTTGTACACTAGAGTATTAAGTCGCATGTTCCTTTATTTTCTAATTACAAAACTCATCTCGTTATCGTTGCTTCTACGACTTCCAGATGACCGTTGACCTTGGCAAAAGGCAGAGCTGCCAACTGGTCCGTGCAGAAGTTAGCAGCCTATACACCGAGAAAGCACTGCTACGTCTGGGTTTCAAGGTGCGCGCCACACTTAACCTCCAGACACTGGAGGAGAGTCTGCTCGACCTCTCGCGCATGGACTTCAAGAAGCTCAAAGTCATGACATATTCTCTGTCATCGAGAAAATCAACATTATAACAACTAATCTAGAGACAATAAAAAATCCTTATTAGTCTATCTTATTATTCCATATTATTAAATTCCTCCCTAATGAACACAGCATTTGTTATCTATTCATCTGGACTGAATGGGTCTAGAAACGCGGACCCCACGCCTGTGGGCCGTAGCAGTACTCACCTAATTGTACTCACCTAATTGTCCTCTGTCTTAATCCTTCTCATAATTTTGGCATCGTCAGCAAATTGAGACAAATTAACCTTTACCCTCCGGGAGATCATTTACATATATCAGAAACAAGATAGGACCGAGTACAGAGCACTGTGGGATTCCACTGGTGACTTCACCGCAATCAGAGGTCTCACCCTCATCGTAACTCTCTGCTTCCTATTGCTTAGGTACTCCCTTATCCACTGGAGCACCTTACCAGCTACACCTGCCTGTCGCTCCAGCTTATGTACCAGCCTCTTATGCGGTTATGTGTCAAAGGCTTTCCGACAATTAAAGAAAATGCAGTTCTCCCAGCTTTCTCTTTCTTGCTTAATCTTTGTCACCTGGTCGTAGAATTCTATTAAGCCAATCAGGCAAGATTTACCCTCCCTGAACCCATGTTGACGATTTGTCACGAAGTCACTCCTCTCCAGATGTGTTACTAGGTCTTCTCTCACGATCTTCTCCATCACATTGCATGGTATACAAGTCAAGGACACTGGCCGTAGTTCAGTGCCTCTTGTCTGTCGCCCTTTTGGTATATTTGGACCACATTCGCCGTCTTCCATATTTTCCGTAGGTCTCCGTCTCTAGTGACCTACTATACACTATGGTGAGTGGCAAGCAAAGTGCCTCTGCACACTCTTTCAGTACCCATGGTGAGATCCGTCTGGACCAAAACCTTTCTAACATCCAGATCCAGTAGGTGTCTCTTCACCTCCTCTCTCGTAATTTCGAAGCCTTCCAGGCCGCCTGGTTTACTTTCCTTTCTCCTAGCGCAGTGACCTCACCTTTTTCTATTGTGAAGACCTCCTGGAACCTCTTATTGAGCTCTTCACACAAATCTTTGTCATTCTCTATATACCTGTCCTCGCCTGTTCTAAGTTTCATTACCTGTTCTTTCACTGTTGTTTTCCTTCTGAGTGACTGTGGAGTAGCTTTGGTTTGGTCTTGGCTTTGTTTGCTATATAATTTTCATAATTTTCTCTCCTTTTCTCTTCTCATCCTAACATACTCATTCCTGATTCTCTGGTATCTCTCTCTGCTTTCTGGTGTTCTGTTATTCGGAAGTTCCTCCACGCCCTTTTGTTCAGTCCCTTTGCTTCCATTCATGCCCTATTATACCATGGATTCTTCTTTTGCTTCTCTGATTTTTCCCTTTGGGCCGGATGAACCTGTTTACTGCCTCCTGACACTTTTGGGTGACATAGTCCATCATATCTTGTACAGACTTATCTCTAAGGTCTGTGTCCCAAGGTCCCTTAGGAAACTTTTCATCTCATAGTTCCCCTTTCGGTATGCCAGCCTTTTGTTTCCTAGTTCTTTTTGGGGGAGATAATTCCTAGCTCTACCAGGTACTCAAAATTCAATACACTGTGGTCACTCATTCCCAAGGGTGCTTCCATCTTAACTTCCCTTATATCCCACTCATTTAGGGTAAATATCAGATCGAGCATAACTGGTTCATCTTCTCTCATTCTTGTTGGTTCCTTGATGTGCTGGCTTAGAAAGTGTCTTGTTGCCACGTCCAGCAGCTTAGCTCTCCATGTTTCTGGTCCTCCATGCGGATCTCTGTTCTCCCAATCTATCTTCCCGTGGTTGAAGTCTCTCATAATTAGTAGTCCAGATCCATTCCTGCTAACAACAGAAGCTGCTCTCTCTATTATGTTCAAGGTGGCCATGTTGTTTCTATCATATTCCTGTCTGGGTCTTCTGTCATTTGGTGGTGGATTATATATGACTACGACTATAATCTTTTGTCCTCTAGTTGTTATGGTACCTGTTATGTAGTCACTGAAACATTCGCAACCTTGTTACAAGGAGTGGGCTGGGCTATCCAGGGGGCTGCTAGGGGTTCAGGAGAAAGAATAGTCAGTCTCTCTGACTCACATAACTCACCGGAGTCATTTGGTCCCAAAGGTGAGGACCACGTAATGCTCACCACTGCAGGTCTATGCTCCCACCACCTGGGTGCCACTGATTCACCCTGGGAGCCCTTCAGTCAATCACAGGGCAAACTGCTACCAGCAGTTCCGGCCTTGCCCCACGGAGAAGTGAAGAAAGACTCGGGAATACTCTCAACAGCACTTCCTCCGAGTCTTGCCCGCCGTAACAAAAGGTTGCAGGTCTCTCTTCCACACTTGCGTTTCTATACTGTCTAACAAGGTCGCCAGCTGGGTTAATATCTCTGCACCCCCAGCAGTGCAGTTCAGTGGTTGTGCACTATGTGGCTTGATAGCATACGTGTTGCTACATTCAGTGTTAAATCAGGATTGCCAGCCTAGGGTACATTCTATAAATATGTGTTGCTCTCATACTGCCAGCCACTAGGATACTTTCATATAAAATCTTATTGTTCATATGTGGGGGCTATAATATCACTCATGTATGCTCATAGAGATATATGGAGGCACTCAGACACGTCGAGAAAATGTATGGCATTTATTAATGAAAAGTGTGATATTAATAATTCTTCGTCATTTCTTGATGTGAAAGTGAGTAACCTTCATGGTTTTAACACTAAAGTTTACAGAAAACCAACTTTTACAAGTTTAGACTTAAATTTTAATGCATTTGTTTCTGATATTTTTAAGAAAATGCAATTAATACTCTGCTGAACAGAGCCTTTGTATTATGCTCAAATTGGTCCAACTTTGATCAAGAAATTAATTTTATTGTGAATTTTTTTTTCAAATAATGGTTACCCTGCTTATATGATGTATACTTTTATAAGGAATTTCTTAAAAAAAAGGAGTTTCATTCTTTTTGTAAGATTACTACGGTAGAAAGGGATATTAAATGCATCAAATTATCCTTTTACGGCACCATTAGTTTTTCTGTAAGAAGTTGATTGAGGAAGCTTTTTCAACATTGTTATCCTCAGGTACCTTACCTTGAGGTGCTTCCGGGGCTTAGCGTCCCCGCGGCCCGGTCGTCGACCAGGCCTCGACTTTAAATTTATTTTTGTGAATGCAAATACCATAGGCTCCTATTTTAAATTTAAAGATAAAGTCCCCCCCCCCCACCCCACCCCCATTATGCCCTAGTATC